GAACGAAAAGATTCAGGTCTTGCAGCCGGCCACAGACATGAGATATGAGCAGGGTCATCACGCACTGCACGTCATTAACATAATATTCACATCACGCACAATAAATATGCCACTCATCTCTCTGTTTACCAATCAATATCTTTAAAAGTATTTCATTTACAAATCGACTATTAACGTGAAAAGACTTGCCGAATGCCTTCCACCCAAACATCAAATAATAATGTTTGCATAGAAACTAAGGATATGTATGCCTTCCCCCTTATCTTAGCCGAAAGCATTGCATATATATATATATATATATATATATATATATATATATATATATATATATATAAGCGAATACATATATATATATAACAACGAATACATATATATATATATAAGCAACGAATACATATATATAAAAGCACAATACATATATATATATATATATATATATATATATAACAGAATACATATATATATATAAGCAACGAATACATATATATATATAAACAACGAATACATATATATATATTTATATATATATATAAACAACGAATACATATATATATATATAAGCAACGAATACATATATATATAAGCAACGAATACATATATATATATATATATATATATATAAGCAACGAATACATATATATATATATAACAATATATACATATATATATATATATTCAACGAATACATATATATATAAACAACGAATACATACATATGTATATATATATATATATATATATATATATATATATATATATATATATATATATATAAGTAACATATATATATATATATATATATATATATAAATAAAACGAATACATATATATATAAGCAACGAATACATATATATATATATAAATAACGAATACATATATATATATATATATATATATATATATAACAACGAATACATACATATATAAGCAACGAATACATATATATATATATATATATAAATAACGAATACACATATATGTATATATATATATATATATATAAAAGCAACGAATACATATATATATAAGCAACGAATACATATATATATATATATATATATATATACGTATGCTAGCAGTTTCCTTTTCTATTTTGTGTTGCTGTTGTGGTACCGGTAGTTTTAATATTATTTCTTTTCAGTGTATTTCTCTCGTGAGTATTGCTGTCGGTCAAGTGGCATCAAGTCTTCTTATTAAATTACCTTACTGGTCAGGTTACTGTTTAATTTTGTTTCTTTCTTTTTATCATTGAATCCAGCTTACTCCAGTAACACCTTTCGAAACCTTAAAAACGTTTTTACTGCGACAGGAATTGTGGGTAAAAGTTGCTTTCATAGTACATCATATTTCTCATGACTTTAAACATTATTTTAATGGCTGCACATGTTTGGGTAAACGCCCTGTCTGGTTTTCTTTTGTTTGTTTGGGGCTTTTTGTTATTTCTTTCGTTTGTTTTTTTGTTTTGTTTTTTTGTTTTGTTTTTGTTTGTTTTTTTAACTATATGAATTACATCTACCGGTCTATGTATTAGAGACCGATATACGTAATTCCTACTGGTTTTTTTAAAAAAATGGAAATCTACTCAAACATAAGCATCCACTAAAATAACATTTAGACTAATAGCAAATAATATATCGTATTAAAAATTAAAATCTAATGATTCCTGAGAAATGTCTTTGTTTATGTTTCGAATATGGAAACAAAATTTCAGCATTTACAATATTTACATTCGGAATATTGTCCTCATCTTTGTTGCTGCTATCATGTAAGTAAATAAGAACTGGATGAGATATCCTTAGACATGAACAGTGGAACGAGAACAGTCTAACTCGGTAGATTACATAAGGGTTCAGTTCAGAATTCACTGGAGGTTACTCAGATCAATATGTATCTGAGGAAGGCCGGAGTGTACAAAGGCGGAAATAACAACAACAAGGATGAAGACAATAATCCGAATATAAATAGTGTAAATAATGATAACTTCCCATCCCAGAAATTCAAAAAGAAAAAAATCAACAGAAATGGAATTTCGAGTAGATACAGGCTTTCGAGATCTGGACAAGTGGATGTGCTTTCTCTTAAAGAATAGTCGAATCTACCTGGGAGGTGACGTTCTTTATAGCCGACCGGTCTAAAAAAAAATTCCTGACCAGACAGTGGTTTCCTCTTCAAAAGGGAACGTAAGTTCGAACACTACCGGAGAGAATATCATCTTTATTAAGTCTCTCAAATGCACAGACCAGTAATTCAAACTTTTGAAAAGACAAGGCACATAACGAAATATCAATATCGACTAAGATAATGTTTTGTAGTAATAAGAAATAATATCGAATTAAAAATTAAAATTAATTAATTTCTTAGCAATTAATTCATATATTATTTCATATACTGTCGTATTACATTTATTCTAACCTCTCTTGCTATAGATATACGTTGACCAGGTACCATTGGAGTTTTATTGCCGTATCCCTTCAGGGTGTGGCCAATCATGGCTCTCCGCAACTTCTTATGGTTTATAGTTCTAACCAATATTGGTCAACTATTATTCCTCCCAGTCCGAATTCTGCCATTCATTTACACAAGTTCATGACTCACTGTTTCCCCCTATTCCTCTTGTTCTTCAATATGTCCTTTGAGTGTCAAATTCTCCGATCATCCTTTCCTCATTATATGTCCCAGAATTTTCAAATCTTCCTGATTTTATGTATAATTGTCTTTGCTTCCAATTCCCTTAAAAGTTATATCCATGATATTCTCAGCATCCTTCTGTAGAATCATATTTCTGTTATCTCAAATCTTCTCTTCATCTGCGAGAAAATTATCCGGTATTCACTGCTATATGGGAGGATTAATATTACATTACGTTCAGCACTCTTTGTTTATGATGAAATTATCTTGTTTCTTAATATTTTGTTTAGCTTTTGGAAGGCATCTTTCGCAATTCCGATAGACCTTCGGATTTTTTCACTGATGTTCACTTTGGCTAAATCTAAGACACAGAAAAAAGTCAGTCTTGCTTGTTGGAACGGAAGATGGTAATCTTTTCTCCCTTCGGAGTGTGTGAGAAAAGTAAATCTGTTGCTATAGTCTTCGATTTAGCGTATCAACGCATCAAGCTTCTTTTTTTTTTTTTTTTTTTCTGCTATACGATATCTAGAGAGAATGCTTCATTCCGTATCTGCCAAGCGCCAGGGGGAGTTATATATTCCCTCTGAGTTGCAAACGCTGGTTTTCGAGTCTCGGTAAACATTGCAATTTCTGAATAATATAAGTTTGGAGAACTAGTGTAACATTATCTTCTTCTAAACTTAATAAATATCGACAATATTTTATATAATTTACTTTCATCTTTCTTTGTGATAATTGTTGAATGAATACTTCTCGCTCAGTTTGCCGTCGCTATTACAAAGTTGGTAATTACAAGAGATTCTATTTTAAATGATTTGTTTTATTTTCTGTTTATTTATTTCTTTGCTTTTTATCCTGTGCTATTTGATATCGCATTTCTTTTTGTTGATTAATGATAATCATTAATATTTTACATACAGTCTGCTTAATAATTTCTTTCACGTGAACTAATACTCATTTCATAAAAATAATTAGATCAAGTTTTAAATATCTCTTTGCAAGATCAAACATTAACCAACCAAAATGCCTAATTACATTATTGTAATCAATGAATCTGATTGATTAATTCATATTTTGCGCAAGTTTGGTTTGTTTTATTGAACTTACTTTTCTTCCACTGAGAAAAATCGTTGGTACATCATTCAGAAATTTGCTCAAGGCTACGTTTGGTCTGTGTGTCTTCACCTTAAACTAGTAGAACAAAAACAGACCAGCTCGTATCACTAATATATGAAGCACTTACTTTTATATACAATACTAACAAATGACATTTACAACATAAGCCTTAAAATTTTTAAAAGCATATTTTAATATATATTACATCTTATTTTTAATTCAAATTTTAAAATTTGCCATATATAAGCAATCTTTCTATCAATACTGTTCTTTTTCTAATTCGTCATGTTTGTATCGTAAGAATTTATATCAACCTTGTCAAAATGTAGTCATAAGTTAGAAAACTTATAGCGTTCGTGATATTGAATTTTGCCGTCTGGTATTTTACATATACCTACCAATTAGTCGAACAAAACTGAAAAAAATGGATTTATCTAAATAAATCAATAGATTTATGGAATTATCTAAATAAATCAAAATAATCTATTTAATTACATTTTCTTATAACTGTGCCGAATTATTTAAACAGATGAAAAAATAACTTTTCTGGATTCATTTTTTATTATTATTATTATTAATTATAAAAATTTTCTCAGCTCAATGGAGAAATGTCCAGAGTAGAAAATTCAAAAAGTTTATAAAAAATATGTCTTGCTGAAAATGTTGGTAAGAGCTAAAAACACAACAGATCTTTCATCAACACGTTCGGTTTGTTGTGCTCCAATTTCTTATCTGTTTGTATTGAAATATCCCACAAAATCTTTCATATTTTTGACTTGAACGCTTTCACAGGTGCCATTACTTTTCTTACTTGAAAACACTACTTCTCTTACAGCTTCCAATAGGAAGAGAAGGTTTAATCTTTGATATATTGTGTCCTTTTGAAGGGTTAATCATCGTCTCCTCTTGATACAAGAATAGAACCAAAAGAAAGAATTTAAATTAACCAACTATGACCCATTGCAATTTGAACTCGCAAAGCTTTGAAAGTTGAAGAAGGTTATAATCATACTAGTTGTCACTGATGCATGACCATTTACAGTCAGAGAAAAAAACGCATGATAAATAAGGCCGATGGTAGTAGTCCGCTATCCATGCATTAATTACGAGACATTAAGATCTTATATGAGAAAATATCAATAATAATAATAATAATAATAATAATAATAATAACTGGGTACAGCAAGCATACATCGAAAAGTAGTCTGTCTGAAGTCCTTGTTGTGCCTTCTTCAAGATACCTATAAGCTTACCGTCACATCATGTTGAAACGACTGTTCCTATACGATCACCGAAGTTAAGCAACGTTGAGTCTGATCAGTACCTTGATGGGTGACGGCTTGAGAATATCAGGTGCTGTAAGCTTCGATGTGCGGATGGTGCAATGGATAATGGCTAGGAATTGTTAATCGGAGAGCCGAGTTCCAATTCCATTTGGATTCGTTATATTCAGTTACATGCAAATACCTTTAAGAAAGGTATGAATCCACCCCTATGAGTTAATGAGTTAATTAGTAAGGCTTGTACCATTAAAACATTATTATCTCCAAAAAATATTCTGTCAATCTAAAAATAATATTTTCTGGCTTTAAATAACCGGTAAATGGTTAATAAGCCGTAGAAAATGAATCAATCAAGACATCTACACAACAAAACTAACATGGTACAATAATAAATGATAATAATAGTGGGTCAAAGATAGTCTTGATATCTGACCATGAAATAAGTTTTGGGGTAAAGGTCTGCAAAAAAAATAAAAAATACTATTGATGTAGTTTAATAAATATGTAAAGGATGAACTCTAATAAATGTCTCCATGAAATTTAATTCCGTTCGACTAATTGGTAGTCATGTGAAATATCAAACAACGACAATGCTTATCACGAACGCTCTAAGTTTTCTAACTTCCGACTACAATTTGACAAGGGAGATATAGATTCTTACTATACAAAGACGATTAATTAGAAAAAGAATTAAATATTTATTAAATTAAAAGAATTAAATATTTATGACATAAAAATATTATTTCAAAATTATGGTCATATTTCTTTATGAATACAAGATGCGCTCTGAAAACGGGATTAAGTTACGGCAATATAAGAAGGAAATGCTGAAATGTTTTCATACCAATCCACTTGCCAAAATCTGACTAAAGAATCATACATCAGAATTTTTTTGGTAACCCTTCTTGGTAAGACAGAGAACTTTTCAGTACCACTCCTTTTGTAAAGAAAATATGCAAATTGATGTTTCCCAAGTTTTCCGCTTATTCTTCTGTGTGCTGCGTCCCTTCAGGATATATCTGATCATTGCTCTCCACAACTTCCTATCCCTTGTTGCCATTTGTGAGGCACACCCTCACCCCATTCCGCCATTCATTCACACAAGCCCATCAGGTAAGTGACTGGCTGCCTTTCCCTCTCTCTTGAACACATTATGCTCCATGAGGGTTAAGTTTTCCAGGCCTACTTCCTCATTACGTGTCCAAAGAATTCCAGCTGTCCATTCCTGATTCTAAATCACGGAATGGCAACTCAGTGGTGGCGCATGGAAACTGAATGCAAACAAGACGAAAGTAAATGATTCAGAGACTTTTTTGTCCAAAATATTCAATATCTACATCAAATATCAAGATGGAAATAAAGTCCATTAGGCATTAATAAGCTGAGTGATTGCAATCTATATGCTTGATCACAACTGAATAAATATGATTGATTTATAAAGATAACCAAGTCTTCATTCCATTTATGTTACCGATGCTGGTCATTTTAACTGAATGATTTCTGTCCATAATTACAAATTAATAACATTTTCTCTCTCTCTCTCTCTCTCTCTCTCTCTCTCTCTCTCTCTCTCTCTTAGAGGTGTAAATCCGATATGTTTTCTGTAAAATCACCAAAAGGTACCTAATACAAGGGGTGATCTTAATAATAGGAGGTTTGAATTGTTCTCAATATGCAATAAATTTGTAGTCTTAATTAAGGTGCAGTCAGAAAATTATTTAAAGTGTCGAAATTAATAAACGGGGGTGGTCCTACTTAGCTCGAGGGGTCGTAAAATTTCTTCAAAAACTAAATGTCAATCTATTAAGAACCTAAGAATATTACTTTATAGTCACACGCACACACACACACACACACACACATACACACAAATACACACACACACATATATATATATATATATCCAAAGCTTATTAGGACCACCCCGTTTATTAATTTCGCTTATTGATAAGGCAATATATATATATATATATTAAGCGAAATTAATAAACATGGGGGATGGTCTAATATGCTCGATATATATATATATATATATATATATATATATATATATATATATATATATGTATATATATATATATATATATATATATATATATATATATATATATATATATATATATATATAATCTTGTTAATAAGCAGTCAATCACTGATACCCACTGAAGAGTGGACGGACAGGTCCGTCTACGAAACTCTGGAGTCAGGATGGTGAAGGCAACGTCAATCAGCTAAGTGACAAATTTTTTACTTATATATATATATATAAGTAAAAGTTTGTCACTTAGTTGATCTCTCTCTCTCTCTCTCTCTATATATATATATATATATATATATATATATATATATATATATATATATATATAGGTTCATTGAATATGACAGACAAGATAAAAAGTGAATTAATTTTTTTATTTAGTTTTTTTCAAACTTACATTATTCCGTTTGGTGTGAGTAAGGGAGTGTAAAAACTGTCTGTATTGTCCATTGTCCCAGGTGCTTTCAATCACTTTTTAGTCACTTTCAACGTAGTTTGTTTTAGGTGTTGTTAATTTCTCTTCGTCTTTGACTGTTTCAGGTGATTGCTTTTTACAAACTTTTAACACACCATTGCTATTACGTTGAATGTTCAAAAAAATACAAAGACTTTCACTCGAATTCCAGTCGCGGTCAACACGCAAAGCCTCGGAATAAACGTTCCGACTTGTATTCAAAACAGCACAAAAAATACATCTTAAACAGTCCCACATGAAAAGAAATTAACAACACCTAAAACAAATTCCCTTGAAAATGGCTAATAAGTGGCCGAAAGCGCTGTGGACAATACGGACAATTGTGGCAATTCCTTACTCCCACCAAACTTTAAAATGTAAGATTGCTGGAAAACTAAATAAAAAATTAATTAAATTTTCTTGTCTGTCATCTTCAAGGAAGCATATGTAAATGGAAATTTTCTGCCCAAATATACATTAGTATATATGAATATAGATAAAGAGAGAGTGAAAGAGAGAGAATGACTCCTCTCCTTTTTTCTTTTCTTCTTTATTCATGTTCTTGCGTCTATACACATATAAGTGTACACATGCTTATGTACGCTTGTGTGTACCTACACGTATGCTGTATATCAAATAAGTAAAGATTCCTTTCCATAGATGTTAGTTGATGCGGACATCGAAAACATTTAACAAAAAGAGAAATAAGAAGAAATAATTAAAAAAAAAAAAAAAAAAAAAAAGAGGCTCTCTTTGTTTGACACGTGCATTTCATTAAGATCTCCTATAACCATTGCTAGGGGAGAGTTAATTTTTATCTAACAACTCTCCCCTTATCCAAAATCTCTGGGATTTCTTTCCCTCGCGACTGCTGCTTTTGCAGAAGCTTGCGCCGTTTTAGATGTTGAGGATATTTTTTTTTTCTTTTTTTGTAATATTTTTACAGTTTTTTTCCCTCCCTTCAGCTTTCTACTTGCCCGCAATTTTCCGCTTTCGTATTGGTTTCAGGGTCACAGTTCAGCCCGATCTCAAGCCAGAAATCAAACTCGTTGACAGCCTCCCCCTGTCTGAGATTGAGCTGAAAACAATTGTGGATATTTCCGATTTCAAGGGCGAATGATTCCTGCATTGAAAAGGCAATAGAGGCCCTACTAATCCGCGCGTGCGGCCGGGCCTTTTGTTTTGTTATTATGAAGACCAAATTGAGCTTAAAATATTATGAACGTAGTCATCAAAGCGGACCGACTTAAAAAGGAGAGCCTGCAGAACTTGAGGAAGGATGATGGAGAGTGTCGAACGCAGAAGAAAAATCTCGTTTTGGATGATTAAAGAAATGGCGAGGAAAATGAAAAAAAAAAAGAGCGAAAGAGAGAGAGAGAGAGAAAATATTGGATGGAAAGGAAAAGAATTTAGACTTTAAGCAACGCCATATATTTAATAAATAGTCGAAAGAGAAGAGACTGATTTGTGTTTTGAGAGGAATTAGTTAACACGGGATAGAGAAGAAAATACAGAGGCGAACATTGGACAGAAGCAATGAAATTATGTCTCATTCAGACGAGAGGCAGAATAAAAAAAAACGAGAGATGTCGTTTATTGTTTTCGGTAGAAAGATGCCTTGAGACTATAAAGGATTTTGAGTGCCGCCAAAGATTTTGGCTGCTTGCTTTTGTTTAGCGGCATATCAACCTCCATGGGTTATTTAATGCAGAAATCTAAAATATTTTGTACGCATTTTTTTATATATATAATGATGGTTTTAGTGATACAAGTCTTACTAATTAACCCATAGATGGGAGAGAAGAGGTAGAATCATAACTTTCCCAAGAGTATTTGCGCATAAGGAAATAGTGAGCCGCTTCAGTTATGCCTCATCACAAGGTGGTCATCATGAGGCATAACTGAAGCGGCTAAAAAGATTCAAGATTTAATTTTTCGTTGTAGGTACTTTATTTTCACTATGGAAGACCATACGCGTAAGCATCTGCATTAGAAATGAGAAAAAAGTTGATTGTTTTTTGGATAAAAGATTTCTCAATAATTAAAAAAATGAAATCTTGTTATAATATTTTCACAGCTGATAGTTTAATTAATAAACACCACTGCTTTGTGGTTTGTTTCTTATTTATTCATTTAAAAACACGAAAAATAATGTTTAAAATAAAAAATATATTTCTTCTCCAGAGAATAATGATTAATGAATAATGTTTCTAAAACAAAAGATGCTTACACACATGATCTTCCTTAGTGAAAACCGCCAATGGTTTAAAATGATGCACCTGAGACATCCCCAAAAGGAGAAATATCAAAAAGGTTTTTCCTTGGTCCCATGTACACGCGACACTCTGACTTTAAACTCGGCTTTGTGCCATATTCTGTTCGATTGGGCGTGTAGATAAATACAGCTATAAATAATAAAATCGACTTATGTTTACAGGTTTACTGTTATTACTTCATAGTTCAAGGACGGCATCTTCTCAGGTAGTATTTTCCCTACGTTTAATACCCGGTGCCTTACTTGTTCCCAAAGTGTAAGTGACAAGCTTGGATTATTTTATTTTAACCTAGTCGCCATGTACACATTGTAT